ACTGTTAAAGCATATTATACTAGACTAAATTACAATGATTTTTTCATACTTCATTTACTTATTAAAATATTTTAATAAATTCTTATTAGATTTAAAAAATTCTGAAGAATTAATTAAAATTAAGTAAAAAAGTTACGGTCATTAGCAAAGTGTTCCGATTCTGATGGAGAAACAACTACCGCTTCTCTGCAGGGTGCATTTAATAATCTCGTCAGAATACAGGGCTGTCAGTAGCCTGTTACTATATTATATTATAAATATATTGTTCTCTCTTTAGTACGTTTATATAGTTTATAAAATGATAGATATTCAAAGATAATCAAAAGAGATAATATTTAAGATTCCTGTATGTGTAACATGTGTCAAAGTACTTATTTTCACAGAGTTACTAATAAGGCTGCTAATCTATTGTAAGTTGGTTCATAATGGCCTTACTCCAATGGTCGCGGATTGTAGACCTCACACGCTGGAACACAAATAATACCGACCGATACAAATAATCATACCCATGAATACACTATTCATGGGTATGATTATTTGTATCGGTCTGATTGTTTTATATGTAGATATATTATGTATGTATTTACAAAATAAATGTATTTAACTATGTATATCAGTTAATTAGTACCCATAATACAAGCTCTGATTAACTAGGAAAAAAACTGTTACACGAAATATTTTATATATAATATAATAATTATAATATTTTATATAAAAAACTCATACTTGATAATATACATACTTGTTGTCTAAGAATATCCGTGGTTATTTTTAAACAGATATCACGATTAAGTTTTTAAAAAATGAACTATGTATTTAGATAACATCATTTATATTTTATATAACATTATTACTAAATCGTTATCTAAATCATAATATTAATTTTTTTAAGTAACATTCAGTAAATAAAATTATTTTTAAACGTCCATTCTTTCATATGCTAGTCGCTACGTAGTCGTAAATTGAATATATCCTTCTCTTTGCATAGCCAGGCAAATAGTGAAATGAACTTATAAACTTTCTGACGCGTGTCGTAAAATTACCATTTCTTTTCTCATTTCTCTGCTAAAATGAAATCTCCGAGTGTCAGCCCTGCCACTGCCACGTGTCAATTCCGAGTTTATATTCTCTATCCATTTATACGAGCGTGTGTTTATTTGACTTCGGAATAGTGCCTGGCCAAATTGCATACCGCCAAACTAGCTCTACCTACATTGCAAATACGAACTATTCTCGTATATCATGAAAGTTAGAGTACCCGTTCGGATAAACCGTTGTTTGATTGATGACACTAATAAAACTGTGATTCCGGTTTAATTTAAATTTAAGGCAATTTAGAGACCCTGCGGTTCTGCTGACCGTAAAATAGCTTCATTATTCGGTATAGGGCGACATATCATCAATCAGGCGAATTTATATTAGAATCTGCTAGTTTTTAGACACAACATAGCTTGATGTTGTGGTTATTTATTTGCTCTAAATAATTATATATAAGAGATGTGTTATGAAAATGAATAAAGCATTCTCTGCTTACTCCATAAAGGATCAGATGTAATAATAGTGTCATTAAGTGTATTAGATATGTAACAGATATTGTTATGAATTTAATATGGCCATCAAACTAACTTACCATCTGATGGTAAGTGATATCCATTGCCTATACACATAAATACTTGCGATACCTCTCATCTTTGCAATTATTGAGTACTATAAAGTAATGCCTCATATCCAGTTATTAACGCAAAGTCTGTTCGTTATAAAACGATATCATTGTACAGCTTTTCACACCTATGGATATCTTAATGATTATTTGATACATGTTAATGCTACAATTTATTGTAATTTGATTTATTTGAGGGATTCGTTTCGATTTTCGTTTTAAAGAACAAAGTGTTGTCCATTTCGATCGATCACAATTTTTTATGATATCGTAGCAATCACAGCTTCTCTTAGTGTGTCTAATTTTACTGGTCATGTAGTATTTGAAATCACATCATTGTATTTGCTTCGATCTAGCAATAACAATAAAGGGGATGTTGGTAATACAGCTATCTATATTCGACCCTGATATTACGCGAATGGACTAGTAATATGTGCGATAAATAGAGAATATAATTATGATGGGATCGTAAATTTCAATGAATTGCATTAGTAATAATAGAACAATACAGTATTGTTATTATTTTGGAGTTGATTTTTTGCTACCACAATAATTCGATTTAAAATAATGTATATGCTTTATATCACAGTCTACATAGGTGTTCAGTATCAATAAACATTAGTATTATATAAACAGTTAATAATATTTTTTTGTGCCTTTTTGTTTTCTTCAATAATTTTTATAAACAGTGTGTGATTGTATGAGCCTGGGAATTAAACAAGGCATGAAGTAGTACTACTACTCAACTGTACGGTTCTTTCAATAAGAGGTATGCGGTACATATGTATAATAATATAATATTTTTTTAGTCATAAATAGTTATTATTGATGTATAATAATCAAGATTTTGCATTTCTGATAACTTCGCCGCTACTGTACCGCTCTATAGAAAGGATTCGTAGGTGTTTGGAATAGATTTTTTTGTCAATTCATTTTACAATCACTTGCCTTCAAATATGATTAAGGAAATCAAACTATAACTAAATATGGGTGTTTCATTTCCACCTTAATGTATATATATATATATATAATATATCAAAGCATAGTCCAAACTCTCAAGGTATCCATGATTTGCAATCTAGTAGCAAATATGTATATTGTAACTAGCGTTGTTTTTAATTAACAATATTGCTTTTATCTTCAGTTTATTTATCAATTTATTGGCGTTGTAAATCGATCAACTGCGAACTAAAGATAAAAACAACAAGTAATCGTATATAGCGTTTCCGTAAATTTCAGATATCCGTTTCTAGTACTTCACGTAATCATGGCGTCATTATCTTTGCTGAAAATAAGAGGTTGAACCTTTTGTATATTGGTGGCTGTAGTAAGTTCCCGTAGTAGAAACATTCTAAGTAATAATTATAACGAAATGGTCAATAAAATAATTAAATAGAGGCAAAAAATATTTCTCCACAATGATACATTATCACAGGACCTAAATTAACATTTTAGTTTGTAAAGATTATTATTGATTGTGTAAGCCCGGGAATGGAACTATAATAGGTTTGTATTCAGCAGAATACTAGACTTACGTTTCGGTGGATACATACAACAACAAAAACTATATAAATTAACAACATAACTTTATGAATCCTTATATTAAGAGTGTGGGAAATTATAATTAACACATGTAATGCATGTACAATAATGTTATGAAATTTTGATGTAACCATGTGTAATTGTGTGTGTGCAAGTAAAACTAAATAGAAGTTTACTGAGGTATGCAAATGCAACAGTGAGGTTACTTTTTGATTATAATATGTATTAGAATCTCGTGTAAGTATTGGTAATATATACCTAAAGAATAAACTACAACTACAGTATGAGTTAAATATACTCATTGTCAAAGCACTTTAGTGAAATTACGCAAATACTTAATGAATCCTTAATTGTAAATAATAAATCATCGTAATCGTAACTATAAACAAGCATTGGCAACATTAAATACTATTAAAGACAACATTTTGGGACATTAAAAAATTGTCGGTGGTCCCTCCTTGCCGGGTGACGGAGGGCGCGCGGTCACCATCCAGCAATAATATATTTAAAGGATTAACCCCGCGTCGCAATATCTCCGACCCTCCTAGGCTCTTCTCTACGCCCCGCCGCGCTCTGCCCGCGCTATTCAAATAATGGAAATTATTTCCACATATGTGCGCCTAAATAAATATCATTGTCATTATTGAACACCCCTGTGTAGAGTTATTTTCACCCGTTTGTTAGCGGTTTTCATGGGAAGTAGCGTATGGTAATAATTTGACATTGCTATCTCATAATTTGTTCATTATTGTGCAAATTAACTGTTTAAGTTTAAAAGTAATATGTTAGTGTTAAAAACGATATTGCTAAAGTAAAAGCTAATAAAACAAAAGAGTTTATAACTCCTGGAGTAAAGACATTAGGCTCGTAGAATAAAACCGAGGTTGCCTGAGCGCAAAATACGCGTTCGTTATGAATGCGAATTTGTGAAATTTATGTTTCGAAAAATAAACGATTGTATATGGGGTGGAAACGACCGTTTATGTTCACTTAACCGAGGAAAGAGGGTATTATTTACCGTTTCGGCTGGGTGAACCCGCCACAGTGAGTGAGACAAATACCGCTGGCGGCACAATATTTATTGCACTCGGTACGTGGATTGCGCAATTTATCGTCGAGGTGTCGTCGTAGCGATCGATCGCACGGTGACGGACGCGTGCCATACATCAGCTTGCGCGTTATCTGCGTTCACTGCGACTTATCACTGGCCTCACCCCACCTCCATTTTCAGACCTCGAACTCCCCACAATGCTCGCCGCCGCGAATTAACAACATTGATTCTACGAAGCACAGCAACGGCAACACTCCGGTTCCGGTGGCGGTGGTCGCATTTATTGCGGACCGATCGAGTGGCGAGTGGTGCGGAGCAGTCCCGCCCAATTCCAAAGCTCGTTTATCTTCATTTTGCGGCCGCAATTAGACGGGTCGTTGCCTGAGGGCGCGGGCGGAGCGCCACCGCACCGTCGTTTGCGCTAACACTACGTGGCTCGAATACTCCTACACCCTACAACGGCGCGTCTCTCTGTCAACTTTGTAATGAGTAAAGTTAATAGCTACGCAACGCAGGTCGCGTCCTGATTCTGAATCTCGTTAAAAGTTTGTAGATTTCGTTGTGCGGACGAGCATAGTTAGACTGCTTCTTTAGGTCTTCGCTCTAATGGAAGAACGAAGCTTGCATAGGTAATGATGTGTAGAGATTTCAGTAATCTTAAAAACCCCCATACTAAACAGTAATAGCAGTCCTTTTTTGTAACATTTAACCATAACTTCACTAACTTATTTAATTCTGTTGTTGCAGGTATGGTTTAAAAACCGAAGAGCGAAATGGCGAAAACGTGAAAGAAACGCAATGAATGCAGCTGCGGCTGCAGCTGCAGACTTCAAAAACGGTTTCAGTAGCCAATTTAATGGTTTAATGCAGCCGTTCCCGGATACCGATGCACTCTACTCAAGCTATCCATATAATAATTGGGCCGCGAAAGTGCCCAGTCCATTAGGCACAAAGAGTTTCCCGTGGCCAGTGAATCCCCTCGGATCGGTAGTACCGGCGAGTCATCACCAAGGATCCGTAAATTGCTTTAACACTGCAACGTCTATGGGAGGTGTCGGTGGGGGCGGGATGGCAGGTGTGGCAGGTTCGGCTGGAGTCGGAGGAGGAGTCGCACCCTGTCCGTACACAGCACCTCCGAACCCGTACAGTATGTACCGCACGGAGCCGTGTCCGGCGATGTCGTCTTCCATAGCGTCACTACGGTTGAAAGCGAAACAACATTCGTCAGGGTTCGGTGGCGGGTACGGGACCGTTTCGCCAGTGTCACGTGCGGGTTCGGCGCCGCTGTCGGCGTGCCAGTATGCAGGCGGTGTGGGTGTGTCGGACCGGGTGCTTTGAGAGGAGGCGCGCGGCCGCGAGGAGGTTCGCTCGCCGGCGCCGCCGTTGCTCGCTGTCGCGCGCGCCTCCTAGTCGCCGCCTGCGCGGGCGCCGTCCGACACCACGCATACCACCGGCCTCTATAGGCACCTTTGGGACTGGTTCGACTGAGTGGACTTTGTGTGCGCAATTATCCAATACCCACATAATAAAGAAACGGTGATTCTATTCCAAGAGTTTTTAAGAATCGGGTATGAGATAGTGTTAAATTGCTGTGTCAGTATAGGGCGCGTTTCGCGCGTAAATTCCTCATGTAGATCAAGGTTTGTTACGAAACTTCGGGCAATAAAGAATTAACGATTCGTCTTAGATTATGTTAATGTAAATATGTAGTTATGTATGTACGTATACCAAAGCGATGTGTGCAATTTTTACAAGCTTACAATGTACTTAGATTATGGAGTTCTATTTTTAAGTGTGTAGCTTATTATCGAAAATTGTAAATAATGAAATTAGGTTATTTATTTGTTTCGTATCAGACGAAAAGTTTAATTGTACGAATTGCCATTAATATGTGCAAGCTCTTGTTATTATCTAGATAACGCTATTATTTTGTTTTGTATAAAAACAGACATGAATTTTCGACAATCACAATCAAGTTTGTATCGTCATTGTATGATAGAATATGCATTTATTTATTTACTAGACGACATTATAAACAGAAAATATCTTCATTACATGTTTAAATACAGTATGTACTATTTATTATCCAAAATTTCAAATAATTTTAGTCAATAGTTTAAAGACAATTCTTGTGTCAAATGAATATGTCTGTTATTTTTGAGTGGTCACTTTATAACTTCAAAGAGTAACTAAATATAAATATTTTCAATAAATTAATTCAATATTATCTTAGACTTATATTTTTAACGACTTACTAAATCTGTATGGCGGTTCATTATTCATCTGTCAAAACGTTGTATCATCAAAATAAAAATGTTTGTAAAATATATAACAATGATTTTCAGTTTTGTTTTGTAATTGGAAAGGTGTAGGTACTTTCAGTATTATTTTTTTATATGGTATGTACTTAACTAAATTAAAGACGGATTTTAAAAATGTAAAATAAAGTTGGACTAAAATGCATTCTTACTTATTTACGAGTAGCATTCTAAATGACATAATCTACAAAATGTTTGAGGTGTATCCATATCTATTAATGCTTGTGGCTATAAACACTTATTTGCTATGCAAAGTACAGAAGTCAAAATAACCCATTATAAACCCACGAGTGGGTACAGGTCATAAAACAATATGAGGTACTGAAAATGTATTATACGAGTATTTTGTCTGGAGAAAGCACTAAATTTCATATAAATGTTATTTATTATTAAAAACTATTTACCTCTTATATATTTTTATTGTTTTATGCTCCACACCAAAGGGCATATTTTACACGCATACCATTACTTAGCACAATGCGTACATTTTAATGTAGGTGTGTATAGCACAAAACGAAAATCAGAAGAATCACTTACAATAAATATCTAATATTAATAGATTTGTTTTATCGAAAATTTCTTAATCTATTTGTATTTATAAAAATATACGGACATATAAATGTAAATAAATTATAACTTGAAGTTTTGTGTACACTCAGATGAGAGAAAATCTCCGGCCTAGGTTTTAGTAGATAGATAAATAGTAGCATCCTAAAAATACACAAGAACAAAAATTCCTTATACAATAGGCCATTAAAAAAATTTAATGACAAGATTGTTCACAGAAATATTTCTGTAAACAATATTGTAAACTCATCCTTATATTAAAGTTTTATGAAATTCAGGTAACTACATTTTTACACAGTAGGTATTTGCTAAATCTTTGCAGATATTTTTTTAACAGACTATCTTGTATATTATCTCTCTGCATTTGCTTTCTACGTTATTACTAAAAGAATCACAAAGCCAGTCATTACAAAAATTAATATTATTCCGATTCATATCACTACCGCCTATACATGAGATTAATATATCGGATCTCACTATTTATTTAAAATATTTATTAACGCCGAGACGTAACTGTACATAACTGTAACTATATACCTAAGTGTTAAAATATTAGGACATTTAGTTTGTATACATGAATACATAATTCAGTGTGCCTACTTAACAGTGGATATATCCAGATATATTTGACGTTCTGACAAATTAGTTTTTTTTTTAATTGTTCCTAAAATTTCGATCGACCCAACGATTTTTATCAGCATGTCATGCAAGATCTGGATTGTGAAATATTTCATAATGTAAATAAATTGAACGTATCATAATAAAAATAATATCATAATTCTATTATTATTATGATAACGAATTGAGGTTTTCATTTTATACATATCAAATTAAATTTAATCTGTGCATTCGTTTGTTGAGTTATTTTGTATAAAACGTAAGGAATTACAGATTGTTTTGTAACTTAAAGAAACCTCTAGTCATAATAAAAAAAATATCATCGAGTATTTCTGTATTTTTATTTATATTTACATAAAATTAAAAAATACCATAAAACTAATTTAAAAAAAACTATTTCTTTTCACGACTTGAGACTCGAATCAATCAACTATCAATGTACATTATCAATTTCAGTAAAAGCTCCTCCAGATTTACAATATTGATGGTTTCGTTATTATAAAACAGATGATTTATTTAATAAAGAAATCTGTATATGTCACTAAAAAAATTTTAGAAATTATCTAATGAAAATGTAAGTCATGTATCTAAATTAAAGACCGAAATATTCTCTAATTTTTTAAATTAAAGAACTACAGTATAGAAACAGTAAGCTGTGGATTAAGGAAGTAAGTCCAGTACTACGTAGAATAGTACAAAAACAATTTGATAGATCTACACTAATATTATATACTAGACTAATAATGGTAATAAGAAAAGTGTCTCTAGTTCCGAAGTTTGCACCAATTTGAGAATTTTTTTTGCCATTTGAAAGGTATATTACTCTAGAGCGATACAGGCTAAATGTTAAGAGTATGTAAATATATACGAAACTCGCAAACTTTGAGCACTGGGCGAAATGCCCATTGTGAACATTAGCAACGATATGATTTAATAGAAAGGAAACTCATTTATTAATTGAGATTAATATTTATTTAAATATTAATTATCATATATATGGATCGGTATGTCGGTAAAAACTCACTAGGCACTGTAGATGGAAGAGACGGCCGAATAAAAAAGGTAATAAAGGTTAAAAAGGTAATATTAAAAAAAATATTTCATAATAGAATTCATTAAAGAGACTTACGATTAATCAAGCACGGGGAAATAATGGCAAATCAGTCTACATCTATTTTACAATACACTAATAGTGCATTTGAAATGTTTGTCTGTTAGTCTATCAGTGGTTTTGTTACCTATCCACGGCCGAACGAAACTTAATAAAATTTGAAGTGAAGATTGATTATATCATGAGGACGGAAAAAGTATCTGTATCTTAAAAAAGTAGTCGCGATCGGGGCTAATGCGTAACGCAAAAATAAAAAAATGCAAATAGGTACATACTCTTTATATATATATATATGTCCTTCCATATCTGCATTATACATACCATATAAATGTGTAAGTATTACACAATTAGTTTTTTTGTTATGGATTACAATGAAATATTGCACGCTTGTGTTAGTAGATGATAAGATGAGCATGAGGTTAGGTCGGTGAACTTATCATGACAAATGAACCAGGAACTTATTACGATCAGGGAGGAACTGCATGGAAGTCAAAGTTGGATTACGAATCCTTATAAAGTAATAAATAAAATAGAGAATAGACTGTATTATTTGAAAAGAAAATAATTAATGGAAAAGAAAGGAGAAATACGATTTCGACCTGGAAGAACATCTTTTTCACTCCGAACACCCCAAAGTAAGCAAAGTAACACCACAAATAACATAATATTACATAGTAACACTAAACTTACTCACCTTTGTTGTTCAAGTCCGACGTCCCGATGTGTAGTACTTGTGTTTAGTGGCCTCTTACTCTAGAGTGTATATTTTCATAAAAACAATTATATTTTAACAATCAAATCAATAACATTCTTGTTTTGTTTATATTCCAGTTCTAATTTCCAATTGGTTTTTATTCTATATTCGAAATTTAAGTGGCTTCATGTTTTTATTTGTGGCCAGTATTACCAAGCGCCCTTTGCTTCGGTAAGCAAGCCGGTAATACAACCTGCTTAGACTAAGGAGGTTCGGAATACGGAACACAACCTGTCATGGTATATTAGTAGTAATGGGTTTATTAGTCCACATTATTAACAGTCCACCATTCCCCTCTTATTGGGTAAGTATATTATTGGAATACGGTAAAGGAGAAGTTTAAAGAAATAACGTGTTGAAACTAGACTATTAATGAACAATAACAATTATACATAAAATTCTCGTGTCACAATGTTAGTTACCATACTCCTCTATACTATGCTTGACCGATTTTTATGAAATTTTATATGCATATTCAGTAAGTCTGAGAATCGGCTACTACCTATTTTTCATACCCCTAAGCGATAAGGGTTGTCCACTCCTAACATTTTTTTTTTGGGCAAAATTTTTTTTTATATTTTTTATTATGTGTCATTAAAAATACATAAAACCCTAAATTTTCACCCTTCTATCATCAACTCCTATTTTTTTTATAGCGTTATTAATTTATATGGCAAAACAACGTTTGCCGGGACAGCTAGTAATATATAATATATAAACAATATGAGCCAATATTATTATGTCAACAATATTAAGTGCCCGAATAGAATAAATAAATAAAAAAATGTAAGAAGAGAAGTTGTTAGCATTTGTGATTTTTTACCAACTCCAACAATAAAATAACCATTTTAGTAAAAAATAAATGTTTTTAGGAGTTCAATAAAAAAAAAACATCTCTTCGGATGTGACAGGTAAAAGCTTTTGTAAAGTTGCTGCACCAGACGGGCATTAAATTGAAATGGAAATAAATTTAGCGTTGCTGCAGCCTGCTTTATAGTGACGACGTCTTGCCGGCAGAGATAGATTGCCTCGTCATAACGATACTACTGTACTAGTACTGTAACGATATAACAGGTAGCTAGTAGGTACTACGAGAAACGGTTGATTGATTTTAAGAACCTATTTCAAATTTTATTTATCTATTGTACAATAGCAATATAACTACTCTATATGAACAAGATTTTACAGGTCAGTCTTCTTACTTGTTCTTGCCACCTAGTGTTATATAATATGACATTTCAATTAATTATATTTTACTGCACTATCCACTACATAAGCATGTAATGATTAAATATTAATTTAAAGTTCTTATTTTTTTATGTTGATGATTATTTTTACCGACAACGAGTAATCTTTGTAAAAACTGATCTGGATACCTCAGTCTCACCTATATCAGCTGCCAAACAACTTGCTTTGTATGTTTCGCTTTTGGGTTTCGGTTATAGACTGAGAAATTATAGGATATGAGATATGAGATATGACATAATAGTTCTCTGGAATGGCAGCTCATGAGTGGTATGACGGGTTTCACATGTCGAGGAAGTCCGTAGTGTTGTTTATACATCTATATAAGCGATGGTTACCACTAAACATTAGATTGGCTGTCAGCTTATATGCATTCCAATTACATATAAAAAATTACCAATATTAGTCAATACTGTACTGGACCTCCTTATAACCCCGTTACAAACCTGTTTAGACAATTCGTTTAATCTCGGCATTTGAAAAAAGCCCCCAAATCCTCAGAATCCAACCGTTAAATGGAGTCAAAATCCAAATACCAATAAATTGCAAACAATTGATTCACGGCAATCGTTGACATTAAGCGGAAAGTATACAATAATCCAACAAATGATTATCGACGGGGCGCGGGCGGCGGCGTTGGTGGTGCGGTGGCGCGGCGCAAACATAC